TCAGCATTCCCAGCATTTCCCATCTGTCCACACAGCCCCACACCAGCCCCAGGAAGAACCCCCACCCCTGCAGTGCCCAGGACAGGCTCCCAGCCCTCCAGTCCTGACCCTGGACAGGAATCTCCCACCAGGCCATCCCTGGACTCTTACCTCCAGTAGGAACAGCGCTGACACAGCAGCACCAGGAGAAAGGATTTGGGGATGGCTGCTGGAACCACTGGCTGTGCTTCAGCCTCAGCCCTCGTGCCTGGGTGAAGCCCTTGGCCAGAGCTCCCCTCACAATCTCCCCACATCAGTGACAGCTTCCCCTCACATGTCCCAGGGACACAGATCTTATCAGGAGGAGGTGGCCACATCACCCCCTTCCTCTCCTCCCCTCAGTTCTTCCTGAGGAGCTGCTGATCTGTTATGATCCCATTAATGCAGGCACCCAGACTTTAGAATTTTAAACATAATTTACTGGATCTAAAACAATGAAAATGAAAGATTTTCAGCACAGATAGTGTTATGTCCCTTCAGGTGCTGGGAATCCTGGGTCAAACCCTACTCTGGTGAGGGCAGATCCTGTCCATGGAATGGGTACTCCATTATGATCCGTTCAGCTATTACTGGGTTTTCTGAATCCCTCAGAAATTCCAGACCTCATGAGATGCCAATAGAGCCCCTGAGCAGCAGCCATGGGGATGAGCACTGTCTTTGTATCCAGTTGCTGTGGGAAATCACCAGTGCCCAGACATGGGACTGCATGAGGGCTTTGCCCACAGCCTCTAATCCCATCCTGTCTAATCCCAGTCATCAGCCCCATCACGCCTGCTGGGCATGTGTCTCCTCAGAGATTAGGTTTGTGCGGTACATGGTGCTACCAGAGCACTCGTATCTCCAAGTGGTTTCTGCCACACAACCTCAGCCTTTCACAGCACGGGGACTGGCATTTTTTTGCTTACTTTCTGCCTCTCTTTCATGTGTTTTCCATCTCCTTTGGAGCTGTATCCTGTGCTTGTCATTCCCAGAACTGATGGATGTGTTAATGCACAAGGTCCATGTGCTCTCCAGGGTGTCCAGCCTGGAGCTTCAGGATTTGGAACTAGAGGAAGACTTGAAACAAGGAGAGAACTTAGGCTCAGCATCCATCCATGAGAGGGGGATGGAAAAAGTGCAAATCCTGGAAGTTTCTTCCAGAAGGAAGTTGGAAAAAGTCTTTGAGCATGAGTTACATGTCAATAAAGACACTGAGCAACTCGTGCTGTAGCGTGATGAGAGGGGGATGGAAAAAGTGCAAATCCTGGAAGTTTCTTCCAGAAGGAAGTTGGAAAAAGTCTTTGAGCATGAGTTACATGTCAATAAAGACACTGAGCAACTCGTGCTGTAGCGTGTCAGCACATCAGTGATTTCTCACTCCTGAAGGTCTCTGGCTTATCTCTGTCACCCCTCTGCCATCATCCATCCCTGGGAATGATTTATATCCCCTTCTGCATTGATGCATGGACTACCTGGGCCATGCAGAGAAAGCCAGAAGCCCCTTGCAGGGTGGGATGACAATGGAGAGTGGCAGAGGAAGGGGGTGATGTGGCCACCTCCTTCTGATAAGATCTGTGTCCCTGGGACATGTGAGGGGAAGCTGTCACTGATGTGGGGAGATTGTGAGGGGAGCTCTGGCCAAGGGCTTCACCCAGGCACGAGGGCTGAGGCTGAAGCACAGCCAGTGGTTCCAGCAGCCATCCCCAAATCCTTTCTCCTGGTGCTGCTGTGTCAGCGCTGTTCCTACTGGAGGTAAGAGTCCAGGGATGGCCTGGTGGGAGATTCCTGTCCAGGGTCAGGACTGGAGGGCTGGGAGCCTGTCCTGGGCACTGCAGGGGTGGGGGTTCTTCCTGGGGCTGGTGTGGGGCTGTGTGGACAGATGGGAAATGCTGGGAATGCTGACGTCCCTTATTTCCCTCTGGTTCCCCATATCTCTCCCTAGCAGGTGGTGGGAAAGGGAGAAGGCAGCTGCTGGGAGCAGGATCATTCACCATGGAGGAGAACAGCACAGCAACCCTCACCCTGAACAACACCTTTTACGGATCTCTGGATTGGGAGGAATTTATCAGATCGGAATGCTCCAGCATTCCCTACAGCCTGATTGCCTTTGCAGGGGTGTGCCTGGGGATTTCCCTCTGTGGGCTGGCAGGGAATGGGGTGGTCTTGTGGTTCCTGGGCTTCCACACAAAGCAGAGCCCTTTCACTGTCTACATCCTAAATCTGGCTGTTGCTGACTTCTCTCTGCTCCTCCTGTTTCTCCTGCTTCTGTTGGCTTTTCTGTCCGTAGCAGCATTTTGCACTTCTTTGCTTCCTTTTGTTCATCACTATCGGCATTTTGTGTTTGTCCTTGGCTTCCCGTGCCACCTGTTTGACCTGAGCAGCCTGGGGCTGCTGGCAGCCCTCAGCGTGGAGCGCTGCGTCTCCGTCCTCTGCCCCATCTGGTACCGCTGCCACCGCCCCCGGCACCTCTCGGGCGTCGTCAGCGGGGCCCTCTGGGCCCTCGCCGGGGCTTTTGTTTCCTCCCTCTACCTCACCTGCACCTACACTGAGGACTCTGAAACCGCCCTGGCAGGTGTAGCCCTCGCCATTTCCGTGGCGTTTTCCCTCATGATGTTGGTTTCCAACCTGTTCCTGTTGCTCAAGCTGCGCTGCGGCTCCCGGAGGCGGCAGCCAGGGAAGCTCTTTGTGGCCATCCTGCTCAACGTCCTGCTGTTCTTTGCCTTTGGCATCCCTTTCTGCGTGGAGGTTTTCCTCAATCTCCCTGATTCTGGTGATTTATTCCCAGAAGACCCCTCTTTTTTGCTGGCATTGCTGAACTGCACCCTCAACCCGGTGATTTACGTGCTGGTGGGGAGCTGCCGGCGGCGCCGCTTCCAGCGCTCCGTCAGAGTCGCTCTGCGGAGGGTGTTTGAGGAGAAAGCCGGGAGTGACGAGGGGAGCCACGGCCCTGGGGACACTGTGGTGGAGGTGACAGCTCTGTGAGGCACTTCTGGACATGTGGCACCCAGAGGTGTGGCACCTCAGAGACAGCAAAATGTACCGGAGCACATGGCTCTGAGCTCACTCCTGTTCCTGTATTCCCATTGGAATGACTTTCATTGTCTTGGCCCCCAGGAATAAACTCTGATGTACTGATCTTTTTCATTTTGTTACTACCCCTAAATCAGATTTGGGTTTTTTTCCTTTTGTTTCTTTTCAATGTGGTAACTCCTGCCATAGATTTTGTTAAATAAACAAAATCAGGGATTTGCTGCTGAGCTTGTCCCTGGGAAACAACGTCAGAAACTGGCTCATTTCCTTAGTTTTTCCCATTCTAAAGCCTCTGGATTGTCTATAAAGAGGGCAGGTACCTGTCTCACACCAGAGCTCTTCCTAAGGCTGGTGCCTGCATTGTCTGGAATGAGCCATCTGTTGACAGTTCCAAGAGCTCCTCATTCCTTCTAGGAAAAGTAGTTTGTCTCTGTGGCAGGCTCCTCTTGGCAGCCCTAATCCTGAAATCTTTGAACAGGCTCAAATCACCACCTTGCCTTCCACAGGTGGACTTTTAGGATTCTGCAGGACAAATCTATGATTTCCATTTCTAATCTAATTTTGCCACTTGTATACCACAATTTCAGTGGTACTGGACATTCATCACACAGTTTCCAAGAGGATTCATGCAATAATCAATTCTGTGCTTGAGTTGGAGTACAGGCACACAGCAGAGGGATGATTTGGGATTTGAGCAATGTCATTTCTTCTGAGAAGAGGCAAATCCATGCTGCTCTCTTGGTTTTAATCCTTAGAAAGTTGCAGGTTTCCTCTGAGTCATCTTCCACACTCCCTTGGCATTCAGACAGCAGCCTACAGTGAATTCCAAGGAATGCCTAGAAAGCTGAGGTGAGATGATTCCTACCCAGGCTGACAGGTACCTTAGGGATCTGGGATGCTCCTCCTGGTATCTTCTGGCCCTGGGACCAGAGCTGTAGCCACTCTTCCCTGCTGACACCATGTTTGTGTCCCCAGCTATGGAATCTCACATCTCCCATCAGCCCAATCCCTTCAAGGGCAAACACTTCATGATCCAGGAGATAATGGGGCACCAGGAGAGGTGGAGACAGGACTTTGTACATGGGCATGGAGTGACAGGAGAAGGAGGAATGGCTTCCCACTGACAGGAGGTGGGATCAGATTGGATATTGGGAAGAAATCCTTCCCTGTGAGAATGGTGAGCCCTTGGCAAAGGTTTCCCTGAGGGCTAGGGTCGGGTAAAAACAAACACAAGAGCTCCCATGTCTGAGGGGGAGGAGGATGAGCCCTAATGAAGGGCTGAAAAGGGAATCACAGCACTCCAAAATCTGGTCTCTAATCGCTTTCATTGCATCATCAAGGGGATTGGCAGTAATTAGGGTGGGCTCTAAGTGCTGATGACCTGGCTGCAAGCAACTGAGTGCTGTCCTTCCCTTGGGCTATGTAAGCCTGTGGTAGGATGGCAAAAATGTGAATTCTTGTCTCATTTGTGGTGCTTTGGGCCCAGGTTTTGTCAAAGATGTCAGAACTCTTTCCAGAACAGGAGGTCTTTCTGAGAAGCACTCAGATGCCTCAACAGCATTGCCAGCACTGCCAGCATTGCCAGCACTCCAGTGCAACCAGTGCCACCTGCATCCCTCTGCTGCTGGAGGGCCACTGACCCCTCAGGGAAGAGAAACAAGGAGTTGTAGGAACCTTTTGGGAGAGGGAAAGCAGTCGGAGAATGGGACATTCTGCAGGGAAGGAATATTTCTAATCAAAAGGAAATGAGGAGCCATTTGCAAAATATTTCATTTGGAGCCTTTGACAAAGCCAATTCCTTTGTGACAAAGAAAAAAAAAAAAACAAGACAAATATCTCTGAGGGAGTGGAGCTCTGACGTACCCAAAGTTGCAAACAACTTCCATCTGCCCTATGACCCCACCAAGCCTTGCAGGCAGCACTGGGATAGGGAACAGAGATCAGCTGGCAAGATGGGAGTGGGGAGCTCCTGGTGATCTGGGCACTTTCTCCTTCATGTCACTGACCTGCCAGGAGCCGCTTTAGGACATGGATCCCAAAGCAGCAAGAGGTACCAGGAAGCGCCGCTGATCTGCACAGACCCCTTTGCCTGCTGCTGCCCCACAGGGAACAGGTCAGTGGAATGGTTTCCTTCCTCCCTACCCTACCTTCCTCTCCTGCAGCAGCTGCTCTCTTCCTGCCACCCTCTCCTGTGACCACAGTGCCCTCCCCAGGCCCCCCCTCCTCTGCCCTGTGCCATAACAGCCCATCGCTCCCACCTCTTTCTCCCACCCCAGAATCTCTACTGCCCTCCTCCCCTGCACATCTCACTTCTCCCCTCTGAATCCTTCCCACTGCAGGGAGCTGCTGAGGAGCTGCATGGTCCATCCCTGGATTCTCCAAACCCTGACTGCCCATCCCCACTGACCACAGCCAGGGGCCACATCCCACTGCCTGCCCAGCGTCCATCCATGGAGGTGACCACCATGTTCCCATCTCCCACCTCACTCACTGAAGGAGATGATCTGTGTGAGACAGATGTCACCACTGTGGCCATACACAGTGCGACTCTGCTCATCGGCCTCTGTGGGCTGGCTGGGAACGGGGCTGTCATCGGCCTCCTCAACCTAGAAATTTGTAAGAATCGCATTTTTAAGCTGGCTGTCATTGACTTCCTCTTCCTCCTCTTTGTGGTCCCCTCGGCCCTGCTCTTCCTGGTGGAGGACGTGTCCTGCTCTCCTATCCTGCCCCTGCTGTACCTGAACTTCCTTTTCCAGCTGTCAGTGGTCTCCTACTACTATGTGGTGTTCCGGCTGATAGCCGGTGGCACTGTGCAGTACATGTCCAGGCTCTGCAAGCTCTGCTGCCACTTGGACCTTCCCAAGCGCCTGAGGTGGGTGGTGGACAGTGTCCAATACTGGGCCTTCTTTGCTCTCTTTGCTGCCATGCCGGCAGTGACATTCCTGTGCCATTCACACGAGCAGGAACACTGCAGGGCAGCTCTCATCTCCATGAACACCATCGTCCTGCTCCTCTTTGTTGCACCCGTGCTCATTTCCAGCACAATCGGAAAGAAAAAACAGCCCACAGCGATGATCCTGCCATGGACGTAATGAGCCTCTAGATCCCTTCCACTGCTCAACCTGCAGAGTCGATACTGAACTCCACTGAACTGCTGTGCCTGTACCAGAAAGTACATGGAATATGGGAATCCCCATCACCAAAGTCTTGGACCATTTAGTTGCACAGAAATTAGGGATTATGCTGCTCTTCTGCAGAATGGGGCCATCCATCCTCTGGTTCCCCAGCATCAGTGTCCAGGGAAGCCCTTGACCAGCTCCATCCTGGACCTGGCCACCCTCAGGAGGAGCTGAACAGCGACTGCACAGCAGCTTCAGCCACAGTCCAGGCTGTGCTGATCTTTGCCATTTTGTAACTACCCCTCAATCAGATCTGGATTTCTGGTTTTTGTTTCTTTCCACTGTGGTAGTCCCAGCCTCTGAATTTGTTGAATAAACAACAACCAGGCATCACTGCAGAGCTTTTGCCTGTTAAACACAGTCCAAAATGGCTCATTTCCTTATTTTATCCCATTCTAAAGCCTCTGGCTTGTCTGTGAGCAGGGCAGGTGCCTGTCTCATATCAGAGCCCTTCCTAAGGCACGTGCCTGCAATGGCTGGGATGATGTTGGCAGTGCCAAAAGCTGATTCCTACTGGGAGAGACCTGGGCAGCAGCCACATCTCTTGCTCAGGGGAAAGTTGTCCCTCCTTTCTCACTGCCTTAAATCCAGGGGAAAGCAATGTGCCACTGCTTCTGGAAAGGGAAGTGAGAGTGAAAGCTCTGGGTGGTGAGTCAGGCTTTGAGGCACACATGAGGTTAAACAGCTAAGGAGCATTTAGTACCAGAGTTGTTAATAATTTACTGAAGAGAGAGACTTTGTCATCTGAGAGGGTTTTTCTCTCCCTGATTCCCATTTTCCTGCTCATTGGAAAGCAGAAAATTTCCAAGGTAAAACCTCTTATCCAGGGAAGAACAACTCAGCCAGGGGGTTTATCCCAAGGCAAGTCCGGAGGATCATGATCCTCCAATGGACTTTTTCAAATTCCCAGTACCTTCCTTGTCTCCTGTGTCACCCAGGCCACTCCTTACCTGAGCTTCCTTTCAAAAGGCAAAGATTTCAAAGCAAGAGGTTTCCTGGCTCTCCCTGCCCATGGCAGAAGGAGAGATGGAATGAGATGATCTCTAAGGTTCCTTCCAACCCAAACCATTCCATGAGGATTCCTCACATCATTCAGCAACCATGGCAGGCAGGAGTTCCCCTGTCTCGCACAGCACCAGCCTGACAGAGCTCAAGGAGCATTTGCACAATGCTCCCAGGCACAGGCTGGGATTGTTGGGATGTCTTGTGCAGGGCCAGGAGCTGAACTCCGTGGTCCTTGTGGCTCCCTTCCAACTCTGGATATTTTATGGCTCTATTTTATGATGCCTCTCTTTCATGATGACTCCACTGTGTTGTCCCTATGCCCTGGCTCTGGCACATCCTCACAAGCCCTCGGGAAGGCAACACTAACAGAGGGGGTGAATTCCTCTGCCCAGCTCCCAGCCAGGAGTAAATCACAGGCTGGGCACTGCTCTTGGCCCAGGAGCCAGAGCACAGCCCCGCTCCCACCCCTGCACACAGGCACAGCAGCAGCAGCAGCGTGACAGGCACTTTGCTCCAGTGCCTGTTGTCACCCTCGGTGCAGTTGTCGTGGCTCTCCTCATTCCAGCTCCCCTTGGATGCCTTCCCACCGGGCTGGCTCCAGCAGGCAGGGCTGGCTCCCTCCGTGGCAGGGGACAAAGCGCTCATGGTGACACCTCTGCTGCTTCTCCTCCCTCACACAGTAGGAAGGGTGACAAACAGGGATACCAGAGCAACACAGATGTCCACCAAACGTGGCTTTTCCCATCTTTTCCCATCCGCAGCTTCCATGTGGAGCAGCACAGGAATGGGTGAGGGACAGGACAGATGGCAAGTAGGATGTCGGAGCCTAGTCTGGAGTGCCTGGCACAAAAGCCAGGGAAACACCTCCTTCCTGGCTGTGGACAGGACAGAGCTGGAGGAGGAAAACAATTGGAGAAGGAGAGGATTGCCCATGGAGATACCAGAGAGCAAATGGCTTTGGGATGGATCTGACCTGGACTCTCAGGTGTCAGCTGATATCACTGAGCTGCTGGATTCCTTCAGCAGGACACTTGTTTAAATATTCTTTCCCTTTTCCCACAATATTTGCAGCTTTTCAAATCCTACAGGCCTCAATTCGGCCCCCAAATTAATAACTAGCTTCCACCCAATCAGGCTCTGTCCCAGCTCCTGCCACAGCCCCTGTTCTCCCTGCTGGCTCCTCTGGCTCCTCCTCATTAATGCCATCACTGACTTTGTGGCATTCAATCAGGCCAGCATCGACTTCCTCTTCCTCATCTTCATGGTCCCCTCCACTCTGCTCTTCCTTGTGGAGGAAGTGTCCTGCTCTGCTCTAATGTCCCCAATGTATTTGAGCTTGCTTTCCCAGCTGTCACTGTTCACCTACACCATGGGGCTGTTCCAGCTGATGTTCATCAGCATCGAGAGGTGCAGGTCCATCCTCTGCCTGTTTTTCTGTGTTGGGCAACAGTCTGAGCAATTGTTGTGGGTGGTGATGAGTGCCCTGTTCTGGGCTTTGTTCTTTGTTGTCACCGCTGTCAATCCCACAGTGACTTCCCTGTGCCAGTCACATGAACAGGAGAAGTGCCAGGTGGCTCTCACGTCCATGTACGCCCTCAACCTCTTCCTATTTGCTGTACCCATGGTCATTTCCAGCACAATCCTCTTCATTCAACAGCACCCCAAAATCTGGTCCCCTGTTGCTTTTATTGCTGTCGTAGGTTAAGAAGGAAGTGAATTTTTTGGGAGGTTGTGGTCAAACCAATCAGTGCTTGGATTTGAAAATTGGCACCTGGTTTGGCCACTGAAGGTATGGACCGCCTCTGAGAACACAGGGGTTTAAAAGCAAGAACTCCCAGGAGAACTCTCTTGGTCCCAGTCCCTGAAGGAGGTCAGAGCTCCCCTGCCCAGCCGGGGCTGGCTGGGGCAGGGGAAGCCATGCGGCCAGGGGAGGCAGGCCGGGGCCTTGGGCAGAGGAGGGGGGTGAAGGCCTGGCAAGATGGAAGGGTGGAGGAGCCCTGAGAGCTGTGCTGCCTTGAAATTCGATATCATGGACTGGCAGCACGGCCAGCCAGAAGGAGAAGGGGGGGATGCAGCAGAGAAGGTGCCGGCCGCTGTGGGAGTTCTGGGCAGACAGAGGCGAAGATTTTAACCCCTTTCTAGAATAATGGAAACTTTACAAATACTGATCCTCCTGAATCATGATGAAGAGAGAGAGATGAAACATGAGGAAATGAACAAGTGTGATGAAAGTTGGTGAAAGTGAGAGATGTCAGAAGAGGTGGGAAGAATCCTAGGTGGGAGGAGACGATGGAGGGGCCTTGGGCTGGACTCTTTCTTGTATGGCCATGGACAGACCCATGTTTTTCCTGTGACACAGAGACTGCATTTAGGGGGAGGCAATGCTTTGGAGCCAAGAGTGAAGCAGTGGAGTGAACAGAGATGGTTGAGGAGGGTGTGGGATGCCCTCTGTCTTCTGTGGAGAGGAAGATCGCTGTTCACGAGGCCCCTCAGCCCCAGGGGGTAAATTTGGGGGGCACTGGTGTCCCGAAGCTGAGAGACTGCTGCTTTTGGAACTGGGTGGAGCATCCTTAAACGGGGAACCCTAAAGGCAGTCCTGGTCCATGTGCAGTGGTGAGAGCACTGGACTTGGAGGGAAGAAGTCACAAGGGCGGATGTTCTCCGGGCAATGACAGGAGTGACATGGAAACACAAGAGGTTCCAGTTGTGTTTCTGGGGGAAGCCTATGGTGCAAGGGGAGATTCCTCTCTCCCTGATGGACTTGAGAGTTGATTTTTTGAGGGGTGATGATGGACTTAAAGTTGATTATCTGAAAAATGGTGACGGGGTGGAAATCTAAGGTGTTATCTCATGCTGGGGAGGAAATGGGGGGGGAGGAGGAGGAATGTATTTGGAGGGTTTTCATTCTTAGTTTTGTGTCTGTTCGTTTTTAGATGTTGTAGTTAATAAAGTTTGTTTTCTTTATTCCTAAGTTGGAGCCTGCTTTGCTCTGTTCCTGATCACATCTCACAGGAGCCACTAGAGAAAGTGTATTTTCATGGAAGCACTAGCATTGTGCCAGCCTCAAACTGTGACAATTGCATCATCAAAGGTACTGGCAGTAAGAAATGTGGGCTCTGATGCTGAGAACCTGGCTGTAAACCTGTCGTGGTTTGGCTCTGGCCAAACGCCAGGCACCCACAAAAGCCCTTTGCCCACCTTCTCTTGCTCTCAGCTGGGCAGAGGAGAAGGAAACAAAATTAACAAAGTGCTCATGAGTTGAGATGAGGACTGGGAGAAAAAACACTCCTAGAATAGAAAAAAAACAGATTCAAAGGTAATGGTATTAAGTAAATTTATTATTAACAGATTCAGAGGATGATAATGAGAAGTAAAATAAAACTTAAAACACCTTTCTTTCCCCCAGCCCCTCCCTCCTTCCCACTGACAGTGCAGGGAGACACAGAGTGTGGGTTTTGGTCAGTTCATCACTTGAGATCTTCTTCTGTTAGCTGAGGGAGAGGAGTTTTTTTGTGCTTTGTCATGGGGTCTCTCCTGCGGGAGACAGTTCTCCATGAACTTCCTCCGTGTGGCTCTAATCTCACCAGCAGCAGTCCTGACAAAACTGTTGCAAAGTGAGTCACTCACACAGGCAAACAGTCTCCTCAAAACTGTTATGGCTTGGGTCACTCTTCCACGGGGTGCAGTCCTCCAAAGACAGGCTGCTCTACTTTGGAAGCAATGGACCTCTCTATCTCTCTCTCTCTGCTCGGCTCTTGCCCTCCACAAGGCTTTCCCTGGGCCACACCGGGATGGCAGCGGCCGCGGCGCGTCACCGCTCACCACACCGAGATGGCCCCAGCAGCGGTGCCTCGCCATCCCTGGTGAAAACTGCCTGTGCGCTGCTTTCATTTTCGCCAGAAATACGG